TATATATATATATATATATATATATATATATATATATATATATATATATATATATATATATATATACACATACATTCGGTCACTATTTTCCTTTTCACCTGTAACGACCCGACCGGTCGTTTTGAGCATTTGCACTTCGCTCGCCAGTTCTCGGGCAGGAGTAGTCCCGTACGGTGTATTATGACTGATGTAGATCGTCGGTTTTGGTTTTCAGGATAATCGGAACAGATTTGGAAGAACAATGCTCAGCTTGAAGCTTCAAATTTGAAATGTTTGACCAACTTTTGACTTTTTTAGTATCGATCTCTGATTTAGATTTGCTCCGTCAGGTGAATTTGGACTTGGGAGCGCGTCCGGAAGGTGATTTGGAGGTCCGTGGTAGATTTAGGCTTGAATTGGCGAAATTGGAGTTTTGGCGTTTTCCGGTTGGTATTGAAAATTTTGATATCGTAGTCGGATTGGAATTCCGGAAGTTGGAGTAGGTCCGTTGTGTCATTTGGAGCGCGTGTGCAAAATTTCAGGCCATTCAGATGAGGTTTGATAGACTTTTTGATTGACGGCGGAATTCGAAAGTTTTTGGAAACCTTAGGCTTGAATCCGAGGGTGTTTTGATGTTGTTTTGAGTCTTCCGGAGGTTGGAACAAGTTTGAATGGTGCTATGTGACTTGTTGGCATGTTTGGTTAAGGCCCCGATGGTCTCGGGATGGATTTGGGTGGTTGTCGAAAAGTTTGGACTTGGAGTTGTGTTGCAGAAATTGCTGCTTCTGTTGTTTCCACACCTGCGGATTGGGACCGCAGGTGCGATGATCGCAGGTGCGTGGAGGCAGCCGCAGGAGCGGACTCAGTCGCAAGAGCGGATGATTTAGTCGCACCTGCGAGCCCGCAGGTGCGAGGCCTGGGGCGCAGGTGCGGAAGTTGGTTCTCTAAAGTGGAATCCGCATGTGCGCTGCAGGTGCGTCATTGGTATCGCAGGTGCGGTTTTGCTGGGCAGAAAGTATAAATAGAGGCCTTCGGAAAATTTAGTGATTTTTCCACCAAATATGTTCAGATTTGGAGCTTTTTGAGAGGAATTGAAGAGGGATTCAAGGGGTAACACTTGGAGGTAATATTTTTGAACTCAACACTCGATTCTATGGTGATTTCTAACCGATTAGACATGAAATTTGTGGGATTTGAGGGTTAAAAAAATTGAAGGTTAGGGCTTGAGTTTTGGAGAGCTTTGAGTGGTGATTTGAGGTCCGATTTTGATGTTTTTGGTATGTATAGACTCGTGGGAGGATAAGGATTCTAGTGATGTAATTTTTATCAAATTTCGAGACGTGGGCCCGGGGGTCGGGTTTGGCCAATTTCGAAATTTTTGAGTTGATTTGATTATTTTCGCTTGAGCTTTGTTGCTTTAGCATGTATTAATGATATAATACTGATTTTGGTTAGATTGGAGCATTTGGAGGCCGATTCGAGAGGCAAAGGCATCGCAGGCTAGAGTTTGGACCGGTTTGAGGTAAGTAATGATTGTAAATATTGTCCTGAGGGTATGAAATCCCAGATTTCGCATCGTTTCACTACTTTGAGGTGACATACACGCTAGATGACGAGCATGGGGGCGTGCACCGTTGGGGATTGTGACTTGGTCCGTCCCGTACGACTATTAAGTCGCATATTGATTGAAAACTATTTGATACTATTGTGTTTTGGACAGTATTACTATGTTTTGGGCTGAATGCCATATTTGGGCCTCGTGCCAACTGTTTGGACCCTTAGGGTCTTTTTACTACTATTCCTTACTGTTTTGACTTAATATTTGTACTCAATCATGCTGTGTTTTACTGATTTCATAATTCAGCCTTACTTACTCAATTTTGATACTCCATCCATTTCAATTTATGTGAATGTGAGCACGTG